AAGGTCGACCTAAAAATGCAAGTTACGGTGACATGCATGTCACCGTAGCAAAGTCCGGGTCTATAATATTGGACATCGAATTGTTAAATATGACCATTGAAACCCAGTAGTCGAATCAAAATAGATAATGTTTAAGAGACGGTTTGGATCAAAGATTTCATTTCATTTGTCAAATGAATTCCTACATTTAAAATATTATATTTAAATTTTTAGAAATAAATTAAATGAAATTCTCAAATCATGTTTGGAGAACATTCATAATTAAAATAAAATAAAGTTTCCAACTGTACCCTTATTAATTTCTAGCAGAAACAACATTGTTATTACTCATTGGAGATCCATCTGACCATCTTCCAAAAACACAAGTGTCAAAACTATCATCCAACCAGTCTGAAATCTTCTAAAATCTTCATTATCAAAAAAATAATCTTCATTATAACCCATTTTTCTCTTGAGTCAAGTAGGGGCATCCGGTTCGGTAAACCTGAACCAAACTGGACCAAAACTGATTTAAACCAAACGGAACTTCTGTTCTTTGGATCAAAATTCTGAAGAGAAATATGGATAATTCGAAAACCAGCGTTCTCTCAACCGAACCAAGATTCTGATTTCCGAATCGAAAACCAAAATATGCACCAACAGTTGATATGTTATGATCCCAAACCCAAGCCCAAACCCACAAGCCCATTTGGCCTTTGCCTATTGAAACCCTAGCCCAGTCCCAACCCCCATCGGCCCATCCCACAAACCATAGCCCAGACCTAACCCACCATCAGCCCATCCAATCTCACCACACTACAGTGGTCGCCACCCACCATCCCCTCCTTCCCCTGCCTCTTGTTCTCCGACGGCCGACATCATCAAGCCATTACCTCCGCCATCTTTTCCTTCATGCTTTTCCACCTCCATCACCGTCGGGTCAACCTTTTTTCCTTTCTTTGCCGCTTTCTCTTCTCTGCCACAGCTAGTGTCTTCTCCACCTGAATCGAAAACTCAGACGATGCCACTAAAGCTCGAAGGAGAATACAAACCCAAAAAATATCATGCATGCTTGGATTTGAACTCATACGAACCTTCGTCGTCGAAGTCATCACCATCGTCGTCGTGAATCGCCGCCTATCGTCGTCCGCCGATTTACTTTCTTCATTTTTGAACCCTTAAAGATCCGCTTTGCTTCGAGACTGGAGACAGAGGAGAGATCTCTACCGTTGCAGCAACTACATTGTGCTTGCCGTCGCCGCCGCCTCATTACTTGGTTGGAGGGAGAGAGAGAGAGAGAGAGAGAGAGAGAGAAAGGGGGGGAGAGAGGGAGTATCTGAGGTCAGAGAGAAGCGATGAGATAGGATAAAAGTAAAATGAGGCCTCCTCCGGTTTTACCCAAAGAAAGAAGACAAAACGCAGGAGTCAGAATGGCAAAACGTAAATAACTAACAGTTTCGGTTTTTGGGAAAAATCAAACCGAACCGAGTTATAATTCGGTTTAGACAAACCAAACCGAAATATAATTCAGTTCGAATTCGATTTGACTTGTGGATTGAATCAGAACCCCGATAGTGGTTTGTCCGGTTTGGTTTGAACCGAACCGATCGAATACCCACCCTTAGAGTCAAGGGAGCTTGATCTCGTCATCACACGTTGATATTATCCAAATGACCAACTCTACACGTTTTTATTTCTTGCCGAAGAAGCTAACAAAGTTGAGAAGAAGAAAGGCAGAATTTGGTTGTCATTTTCCGAGTTCATGGTACCTACTTTGGAGGCATGGTTCTCTCAATTGGCTTGGTGGAAATTCAAGGTTAGGTGCTTGTTTTAAATATAAAGTTTCCATCTTTCCAATGGTATGCTATTTGGATCCAGATAAAGTCATTAAGGGTTTTTTCCAAGGCCTCAAAGTTGCTACCTCAAAACTGGAAAACTGCCAGAAAATGGTTAAAGTCTGGAAACGTGTTTGTGAAGCCTACTTTGGAGCTCAATTTGAGGAGCATGGAGTTGATTCGAGTCCAGATGCTTCCACAACATGAAAATAGGTATGTTTATCTACCAAGGGAAGGAATTGGATGAAAGATGAGGAGCATGGAGTTGATTCGAGTCCAGATGCTTCCACAACATGAAAATAGGTATGTTTATCTACCAAGGGAAGGAATTGGATGAAAGATCGGAGTTCTGGAAGGTCTTGAACGAAAGGCGTGAAGTTAGTTCGAAAGCTGCTTTTGGACTGTTTGCTAGCAGCTTACATGTGCTTCAAGAAAGGAAGTTTAAACCCGAATTTTGAGTCCTTTTTAGAGTAGATTTACCTTAATTGTTTCCTAGTTCTATTAGGTTTATATTAGGTTTATTTGCCTTTAAATACCTTTCTAGTTTTCGTTGTAAAGCAGAGAATTGAATGAAAATTGCTCCTACGTGAGTGTTTTGAGTTCTTGAGTGTGTCTCGAGAATTTACCTATTGTCTTTAGCTTCGAGTGGATTTCGTAGCTAATTTCAAGACCCTAGTTCAAGCTATTCTGATCAAAAGCACCCCTAATTTTTACTGTGATTGTGGCGAGAATTTTACTTTTCCATCATTATCGTTCGATTGTTTGCGTTAGCTGCGTATTCTGATCAAAAGCACCCTGATGCTTTATCACAAGCATAGTAAAATATATATATATATATATAAAAAAGACAATCAACAGAATTTCCAGCATGGATTGCCCATTGATATCAAGCAAAGAAAAAACTAAAAAGAATAAAGATTATAACTATAAAACAAAGAACATCAATCTCCATAAAACATAAACATAATTGCAAGTAACAATAAGGGTAAAACTGTACAGGTGCATTATATATATATTATAAATATAACCTAATGGGACGATGACTCATGTTTATTATGAGTAGTAGCAGCATTGAAGCTTAACAAAAGGATGAAATTGAGATTTTCATCCGGAAAGCACACAAACCAGGGTGTAGGATACAAACAATGATTATTGATTAAGCACCGACTGAGCGAATAAGGTTAGACACAAAAATCTAGAGTACTGCACCAATTGTGTATACATATGGGTAATTTACTTAATAATTAATTATTTTATCATAAGTAGTAAAATACTTTAATAATTCATTTAAAAATCTCACTTCAATTCCTTGAAATTGCTAAACTAGTCCGAATTTCACATAATTAAAAATTTAGAATTGTAAATGAATTTTTTTTATATTCCAAATACAAAATAGTTTCATTTCAGATGAAAATCATTTGTACCAAACGATATGTAAAAAACTAAAAATGGACAGTCGAATGATTAACAATCATTTATACCAAACAATATATAAGAATGGATAATTGAATGATTAACGACGAAACATGGAATCATGATAAGTTTGATGGCGGAATAATCAACAGGTTGGGAATTGAGCAACAACGGACAATTGGAATATGTTCAAAACTAAACAACTGGACCTATTCAGCAGATGCCTTCTGCACCAGCAAGGAAAAATAAGCGTTTTCCACTATACCTCTGACCCGGAGGAATGATAAAGTCTGACGAACCTTAGTTTGTATTGCTTCCGAGGTGTTTACCATTGAGGTAATTCATCTCCTCCAGCCCTCAACCTTTAAGTTTACATGTTGCGTAGCTATAAGTAATTCGAAATGTTGCAACTGTGTAACATGCCAGATGTACCTAATGCTAATAGCACATTCCAACGTCTCATTTCCCTAAAGCCTAACCCTCTTTCTTCCCCAGGAAAGCTTATCCACGATCTAGACGGCTCAAGTCAACCAGGATGATCCTTGATACGCTCTTCGTAATCGTATCACCAAATCCAGTCATCTCTGTCGGAGCAAATGAGTGGATTCTCATACTGAACTTTAGCCTGGCTGATCCGCAAGAGAAATTTGGCAAGCGCAAAGACCCCGCAGCAAAGGAGATTTCCAGTCCTTGCACTACAAGATGACAATGATATTCTGTTCTTGAACCATTTCAAACTCCATTCAAGAGGGATAGACATAAAGAGTCATCAGTCTCTTCACTTTTTTCCATCAAGACAGCAGCAGCAGATCTATCAAGTGCTATTAATAGATCAAATAAAGAAAGACTAAAGACTCCAGCAGCCCCTGCTCCATCATGTCATTAGGAATTCACGATAGATAAATTAAGAGACGACCAATGCTTCACAATACTGAACACACCATAATGAATCAGCAAGGAAATGCACACACAACGTGGAAGTTGCGACCAATCTGTTTAGGTTCGGTATGCAACAAGTGAATACTTGAGACAAGAAATGAATCGTAATCTAAGGACGAGACAAATTTTTAATCGAGTTCGTTATGTCTTTCCCACGAGTTAGGAACAGGTAGGTAGTGAGAATCACAAATCTAATGAAAGTCAACTTTACCAAAATAGAACTCGGAACAAAATCGATGGTCATAGTAAGCCTGATCAAAACACCAAAAGGAAAAAGCACACAAGGTCCCTCTCTCTCTATGTTCTGCATGCATGTCATGAATAACTACTATAGCCTACTAAGCCAACTCGTGATCTACTTAATTGGGCACAGATACTCAAGGAGCAGACGACGAACATTCTTATATAGATTCAAAGGAAGACAAGAAGTTCATCGGTAATGAAGGGTATTCATCAGGATTATGCAACAAAAATGAGCTAGCTACTGTAGAGCATATCAGAACCACAACCACAAACAACTCCAGTGCTTTTATACATTAGATGAAACAAATTATTAATCGTGCATGAAGAGGTACCAACTTACGTACCTCACCGAGGCCAAGTTCTTCAATATCACAGAGAGGGCGACTTGAAACGGTTCCATCATGAGAGCCAGCAGAAAAGCAACTTTTGTATTGAATGAATAACTCATCTTTAAATCTAACTCTTAGAAAGAATTGACATACATAACATGTATGGGACGAAAATTCCGGGAGTTCATAAACATCATTCTTCTCATCTTTTGGTGCTGTGCATAAGCGGGTTAATGTAAATTGCCAGTATTCTCCTTTTCTACTACTGGTTACAACCTGTGGATGAACTACATGAAGAATTTGTGTGCTCATGTTGATTCATGCCTCCTGCAATGTTGGAGCTACAAACCGCCACATTTCTCGTGTTGTTCCCATTATGTGCCCGTCCTTCATTCCTCCAATTCCACTGGGACCTTTTATTCCACTTCCGTTGCTTAAAATACTTCCTTCCCAGACCATAAGAACCACCTTTTGGGTGATTGAATGCATGTGCCCCAGTTCGACATGGAATCACAGTGTCAACGATGTTATAACCAGATGTGCCTGCAATAGCATTTTCAATAGGATAACCACCAGACTGGTGGCTGACAAGTTCCTGGTGATTTGTGGTAAGACAATCTCGAGTTTCTTCCTTAGGGTAAGGAGTAGGTGGCAATGGTGGAAATGGATGGAACGGTATCCCTGGAGCAACAACCCAACTACTTCCAGCTTGATCCCCAGGTGAGCCGAATCGTTGCACAATATGCCAGGGAATTCCATACGAGACAGGCAAGCATGAATTGAATTTCTTCTGTAGATTCCCAACAACCTCATTCGATGGATACTTCAAAAGAGAAGTGCTTTGTTCTGGGAGAAGATCAGCAACAGTGAGCGAGCTATTATCAGAAGCAACCACAGGATTAGATGAGAACCCGGGTGGAGCATCAACAACATCACTCAACGGATACTTCAAAAGAGAAGTACTTTGTTCTGGGAGAAGATCAGCAACAGCGAGCGAGCTATTATCAGAAGAAACCACAGGATTAGATGAGAACCCGGGTGGAACATCAACAGCATCACTCGCTTCATCTTGCTGACAGCAACTGCCTTCCTCTTTCTTCACATTCTCAAATTCCTCTGGTGTCTTCTGAAAAAGATGCTTACTCTGAGCTGGTTGGTCCCACCTGCTTTTCCGCTTGCGGGTCCTTTGACCGACTTCGGTACTACAAGGTGCAGAAGAGCCTTCATTCACACTTCTTTCCACCGAACTCGATGGAACCTCCGACTGCACAACAGCACTGTCGGATGAAGCTGTGGCGATCTTTGATTGGCCAACACAATCTACGGCTTCGGTGGGTCTAGCACCCTGATCATGCCGTGGATTATTGTGCACTGTCGATGGTGGCCTATGTCCGTTCGATCCCCTGTGGAATTCCTTCCTCCTCTCGTCCTTATCGGGACAGGTTGACCTAAACTCATACCTCTGTCGAGGAAACCATTTATCCCTAAAGCTGCGAGCAATTTGATGTACCTGTATATCCATAAACAATTGTCACTATCAAAATAAGTCTGAGCTTATGGTAATCCGGGAGCATGGAGAATATAGTAATAAGTAATTCAGAAAAAATAGGCAATACAAGAATTTTCAACTCTCTTTCGATTAGAATCACTACAGTATTTCATTGAAATAACACAAGAGGGAAGCTTCAATTTTGTACCTGCTTATCATCGTGCTCCGTTAGGGACAGCATTGATTCTCGAAAGCTGCATGAATCAATTATCAGAATTTATTCCAGTTTTCCCACAAAACATGAAATGCTAGAAGAGATCTACATGGCTGAAGCGACAAAGCTACTGAAACAAGTTGTGTCTCTAAGAGACAAGAAATAAAGTTCAATCAAAGTACAGATCAAGAGAAGACCAGTTCTAAGAGGTAAGGGACAGAGAGAACTTCTCCAAGCCTCCAATTAAGTTAAAAACATGTTCCTTGTCCATGACAATGCCCTACATCAACCGCAACCTATAGCCGTTTCCACTCTCATTTCCACACAGAAACAGATAAAAGTTCACTTCAAAACATTTATTCATTGTGTCTAAAATGCAGATGTTTTTCAAGATTAACAGAATTACATGCTCTTTCGGCATATTCAAAGAGAAAAACACTGTACTCACAGAATTAATGAAGTGTACAGCGAATGAAAGCTTTATCATTCTCAATTGTTTGTGTTTTCGCATGAAAGCTTATAGAAACTGCTATTTAAGAGGATAATTAGTGGGAGTAATGGCTTTCAACATTTATCTTGAAGACAAAAACCCAAACAAATGGAGGTAAAGGATGATGTGTGAAGATGATTATTACTAATGATAGGAGGATAATTTAGAAACCAAGTAGAAATTACTGCATTCTAAAAAAAAAGAGATAACTAGCTTTACCTCTCCATGCCCAGCCGGGGAGGGCCGCCATATATATGCTCGGTTGTGAGTATCTCCCTGACCGCCAAATACTCTATAACCTGCATAAGAAAATAGTTAGTGGTACTTTATGGTCTTTGAGCTTCCACGAATGGCCCTCAAAATCAATAATCAACACCCATACTGCTGCATATTGCAATGAATTAATCCCAACCTAAAATGTTAAACTGAACTTCACACTAAAAGCACACGGCGTCGAACTGCTCTACATCTTCCAATGCGAGTATTGCACTCAATAAAACCATAAAGAATAATCTTTCCGCACTAAACGTTCTGGAAGAACTGGCTACATTTGAGCCTGAAACAAATACTTACATCAAACTTTGTATCCGGTTTTTCTAACTGTATTCACACTTATTCTTAAGCAATTGTAAAGTTTTAGTTGCTTGTCTTATAGTTTAATATGCATACATCTTGCTACAAGTCTCTGCATCAAATGCATTCTATCCTATAACGAAAAAACCAAGAAAACAGATTTGTGGGGAATCTTTTTTCTGTTTCCCATCCTTTGTTGAGGGTATAGGAACTAACCTAATTGCTTGGAATGATACAATAACCACAGAATAGCACATCCCTCTAAGTGTACCTTTAGAAGTTTACGGACAATTGGAATCTTCTTAAAGTCTCGTCTATACCGCTTCATTATATTGTGAAGCATCTGCAGACCTGGAAAGAAAGCAAGCAAATTTATGATGAAGCCATTGGCTCTACGCAAATTTCCAGGTGAAGATGCATTCGTGCAACAAAATAAGACACACCATTTTTGTTGATTATATCAATCAAGACTGCCCGGGATTTGGTTTTCAAAATTGCATCAAGGATCATGGAGAGATCTCGATTACTGCAACACAAGAAAGTCTCAATCCAGTCAGAAAAAGAGTCTTATCGGATGTTGCATAGGACACCAAAATAAAAATGAGTAGTTACCACGGACAGAAAAAATGAAAACTACAAACTGATCATATCAAGTACCTTTGGATTCCTTCGCCATTTACACCAGCACCGGAAGCAGCAGTAAGAAGCAGAAGCTTCAGATAGCCTTTAGCAGCATCCTGTCAATGAAATAAGCTCAAGGTGATTAATATATTATTCAACTGTAACATGTGAGATCAGTTTGTAAAAGCCACATTCACATCAGAGATGTTGACTGCAAGTATGGAGGTAGAAACACCAACTGAAAGCAGACAGAATGACAAACAGGCGCCTAAGATGTGAATTATATGGCATGGGATACCCGAGCCCAACAGAAAGCTAAGAGTTCAATAACTTTGATAATTAAATAAGTATTCACATTCAACGTAGAGCAGTGAACCTACAGAATAATAAAAGCCAAGCAGTTACTACATCAATACACAAAGAAGAAGCTACATGTAAGAGAATAGAACTTGAAAGTAATGCAACTGGTATTCACATTTAACAGATAGCAAAGGTGCTACAACGAGATTACCAAGTGCTGCAACACAGATAAACAAAAAAAATATATATATATATATATATAAGTGATAGAATCACTCACTTTCCGCTTTGTTATGCCACCCTCGACATCCAACAGCTCATTAAGTTTCTCTTCCACTGAAACAGGTACAAATTATTAGCATCTAAAGCAAATTGTAGACAGAATCGGCCTGCATACTGAAGCAAAAGGAGCTAACCTGTCTCAAGACGACCATTAGGAACACCTTCCATTCCTTTTTTAACCTTAAGAGGTTGCACTTGAAATTTGTTGGGCCCCATCTGAGATTTATTTACAATTTGAGGACTACCATCAAGCTTACCTTTCTTAGTGGCTCCATATTGATTTTTTATGAGAAAACGGGATTTTACAAAAACCCGCTTCTCTTCAGCGACAGATTTTGACTTGTTAGCGACAGTATCATCGATTGATAATTTTACAGGTGTCGTGATAATAGATTTCTCCGACGTCTGCATACAACCCGAGCTTCTGTCTACAGGTTCCTCCATTGAAACAACTTTCTCAATATCAGAGGAGGGATTGCTCATTATATGTTCAGCTTGACAAGAGGTTTCCACTGATGGGCAAGGAGGGTCATTTTCTTTTATATCAGTCATTTCCAAAGAACCACGAGCCTGAGAGATATCAGGAGATTTACTCCTATAAGCACCGACTTTTGCCGAGACCTTGCTTTTTCCGAGAGATTCCACATCCTCATCCAATTTATCCCTTTCTGTTGAAACGCTATCTGTAATCCGTGTTTGTGCAGATGAACGCGCTTTTGTCAAAGATTTTCCACGGTGATCAAACATCACAGGTTCAGGAAATTCTTCATCTGAATCAACTTGATCAATTACTTCATAGTTAGTTGGGTCACCACCAATGTAACCACGGCATTGAGCTGAACCGCAATAGCATTTCTTGGCGGCTGCCCCGAAAACCCGTACATAGTTGTAGTCAAATGTCAGCTCTTCATCCTGCCGAAATTCATGAGTTACCAATTTAGTCAATCAGGCACAATTCTATTTGCTGAATTAGTGTTCTGTTTTTGTCTAGATAACATGAGTCTCATCAGTGTCAATTTTGACTCGTTCAATTGACAACTGTGACTGGGAGAGAACCACTATTTCAATGGCAACTGTGACTCGTTCAATTTTTTATTTCTCATGCTAGTGGCATCCAAAGAAACCCGAAAACATAATAAAGAAAACTATATCGAGAAGTGGAACTTTCTAAATTATGAGTGAACAATACACAATCATGGTCCAACCTGTATCTATCAGCAAAGCAAATTGGAAGGCAGCAGCATTTCTAGAATTCTATTTAACAGAATTAAACATTAAACAGACAGCAAACATACCTTCTTAATATTCCTCAGTGCAAACAGCCCAATGCAAATTTCTCCATCAACAACCCACTGTTAAAATAAATAAACATTGCATTAAGCATAAATGCAAGGGAAATAAAGCATGATAAGAAGCAAATTGAAAAAAGGAAAAAATAGTAAGATACAGCATAGGGCATTTCCAAATTTAGCACCTTTTCAGTACGGCAATTAGGATCACAGCTGTGGTTAATAAAACGTCCCAAATTTCCTTTGGCACACGCGTCTATTACCTGTACAGTGGGCACACTAAGCTATTAAAGACGTTTGAACTAAGAAGTGGACAAGTGAATAGACACAAGAGAGAGGAAAGAGATTGCATAAACGTAACACAAGAAATATAATAAGGAGGAAACTCTTGCAGGTACTCAGGACATGAGGATGATGCAACAGTAATAGCATCTCAACTTTCACTCTTAAAGCAACCATGTTCCTTTGCTTCTCTTTTGTTTTATGCTTTTCTTTTCTTTCACCTCTTTTCCTTTTTTGTAATGGTTCAAGTATTCCGGTCACTCAAAGAACACGACTCACTAGAAAAGAGATGTCTATGGTGGGAGAGCATAATATACATACCTCACTGCCATCTAATGTCATAAAGTAGAAATGTTTGTGACCCTTGGCTGCATACTCTTTTTGTCGTGCCTCGTAAGCTCGCATATCAAGCACCTGATAGACCACATTTTAGAAATGGCAAGCATAAGTTAGATGCAATTACATGTCTTTGTGCTTGAGAGAGAGAGAGAGAGTCAGTGAATGTGTCCAGCAATGTAAGCATAGGCAAACTGTAGAATGAAGAAAATCTTAAGGTACTTGATAGGCAAAGATGGCCAAAAAATTTTATATGTTTATTAATGGGGCTATATCTCAATGACCAATACAGGGTTACAATAAATACCAGAAAAATTTAGAGACATCTACATGTGTCTTTTGTGCTTTAAGAGAAAGACAGATACAGAGAGTCGGTGAATGTGTCCAGCGATGCAAGCATAGCCAAAAGTTTATCCAACTGTAGAATGAAAACAATACTAAGGTACTCGAGAGTCAAAAATGGCCAAAAGAATGTATATGTTGATTGACGCTTCTTATATCTTAATAACCAAGACAGAGTTGCGATCTAAAAGCGTAAACCCATGCCCGTTATCATACTCCTATGATGCAAAATTAAGAGATGGTTGAAGTGTACAACAAGTAATAATCTTCTAACAGTCCTAATACTTGTTATAATAAGATAGAATCAATTAGGTTAGATTTTAAACCCAGGAAACAATACTCGTGAATTCCAACTCCAAGTTGGGCTCAAACACAAAATCTAGACACCATTCGGTAGTTTACTCCTGAACAACTCAATCCAGCAGTAAGGAGAACAATGACACTAGAATCAAATCAGTGCAATCCTTCACTTATCTCTATCTTCTTTATTTTACATTCATCATTTATTTTATTCAATCTCCTCGTACCAGTGTCTGCTGTGAAATAAATGCACCAAGAGCATGGGAAAATGAGTATCCTTGAACAAGGCATTATCTGTAAATAAAGTTTCTTATGCAAATGGATAGAGACAAAGGAATGTCAGAGAAATACCTCTCCAACGTATTCAATAAGGAAATGCCCTTTAGAAATATCTTCTTGCATTCGCAACCCAAATCCTTTTTTCCCACATCGATCCCACCTCATATTGGCATAAGTTTGCCTTTGGAACTGCACACAAATGCTTGGACTGTCAATGCTCTCTCGAAACTTGTAGTACAGCACAATTTAAAGAGCCATAAGACATACAAATTTGGTACCTGTTGATTTGAACAGAGGTCCCCACAAGGACAGGTGCCATGAACACATTCGATGTTGAGCATTCGATTCAAGCATTCATCTCCACATCCCAGCATGCCATCTACCGGTGGTCGACAATGGCAAACCATAACCTGCATAAAGTTACAAAACAAATTATGATAGTAAAATAAAATTCCACAAAAATTTGATTTACCTCCCAAATATGTACACAATTTCTAATAGGCTTCATAAGTGTTACAGATGAAAAATAAAAACCGCTTTCAGTTTAGAGTACCCGGAGAACAGCAATATATGAGATCATTTCCAACTTCAAGCCTTTAAACATTCAGCAATAAGTGATTACTTATCGCCACGAGTTTATCTCAGCCCAGAGTACCCACTACAGTAAAATGGAATGCCAATTAATGCTGAATGACAGACACAATGGCACAACACCTTAGCTCACCCAACTGGATAAAACAGCAAGCTTCATGTGCACACATAATATCAAGTTAACTACTCGTATGCATGTTCATGATTTTTAATGTTTCCATAAGCATCAAACAAGAGCCACAAGGAAGTGTAGAATCAGACCTCATCAATGTTTTGAGTCTTACGACGACGGTGCAGAAACTGATTAGTAGAAATTCTTGTAAATTCATGCTCCTTGGAAACTGAATCGATAAGAGAACATCAAGTAAGCTCAAAAAATAAGTAAATACTAAAATCCAAACAGATGCTTCCTGAAGCTGAAATCTAATCTTAATATCATATCATTGACGATACACCTCACCTATTTGTCTATTCTCTATCCCCTTATTGTTCACAGGGATATCAAAGGCATCTTCATCTCCGTCAGATATTCCCAACTCTGCATTAATTTCTGAATTGGACTTTTCCTGGGGAATGGAGCAATCTGCGTACTTTTTTTCCATGTTGTCCTTGCATGTCCTTGAACACAAACAAAATGTAGTTAGAAGAAATAAATAGAAAGATATAAGTATTCAAATGAGGGGGAAAAAACGTGTCTCGGCAAAAGCATTCAATAAATGACCTGACAAACAAGCTAGTGCAATTCGAAACACTCCACGGTGCACTTAAATTCAAATACTACAAACAAGTTTGCAAGCGCACTAGTTGCTTAGATTTGGACATGACTGTACCATTCCCACTAAAAAACATATAAATAATCACCTCCTGTCATTAGCTTTCAAAGCTAAGCAACTGAAATTGCCAAAACCTAACAGCAGCTTGAAATACATAAATAACAGGTTACAAGCAATGTTATAATTATAGTATCATGAACTTAGAAAACTGGCTCAGCTACACAATTAACAGAGAAAACTCAACCAATCTGTGCTAAGCTCACAACATCAATCAAAATAAAATAATTTGTGGAAAGAGAAGTGGTATATTCTATGTTCTTCATGAAATTCAGTCTCCTCGATATCAAGGCACATAACTGGGTAAGTCCTTACGTATTTGGTAGGGAGTGGGGGGGCTGCTTATGAGTTATGACATGAGAAATCTTTAGAGCGCAAAATGCAGAAAGATTTAAGAGTTTAGAGTGCAAATACAAGAGAAAAAACAAAAGAAAGAGATAATAAGAGCAACGTGTCGTGGTTTAAGGGAATAGCCAATAGTGGGAAGTACCATCTACGGTCATTTTCTCCAATCATCTGCACCAGTTCAACAGGAATACGTCTCCATTTATGACAATCATCACAATGCGCCCAAGCACTATCCAAAGGCAAATGCTGCATCGTGGACGTATCCAATGGCTTGCCCGAATCATCGACACTTACGGAACCAAGAACACCGCCCACATTAGCTACACCAGTGTCTTCTTTGATAGTCCCTGCAGCAATACACAAAATAAATGTACAACAGAATGACTGACCTTTATCCTCGGAGTAAATCTTTAATGTAATGGTACAAACAATGACAGGAATACAGAATCAGCTGATAATAATAAACATCATTATAGAGATTCTTTACCTTTTCCCATGCCACCTTCCACTCCATTATCAGCAGGATCACGAGCAGTTGCATCAACATCACTAGCAGTCCCCTTCTCATTTACCTTCTGTTTACAACTGCTTGATATTCTGCTTTTCCCCGAAGATGAATTTTTAGACCTTCTCTTCGTAGATACGTCCGATTTTTTTGGATTTCCTCTCCCCTTAGCTTTAGTTGAAGGAAGCATATCCTTGGAAGTCTGTGAAGGGGACAAAATAAAATCCATATCGCTGGATTCTCTAAAGACATTCAATTTAGTTTCTTCTGATGAATGTAATTGCTCAACAGAAGATTCCTTGTTGCTTGATGAGTTGCCTGACATTCTCTCTGTCAAAGAAGAAGTCATCACACTGCCATTGTAAGACTTCTCTATCTTTGTCTGCCTAACACCTTTCTTCTTGACTGATTTAACTTCTTTGTTTGTGCCAGCAGCAGCTGATTTACCCTTCTTGCCCTTACGGTTTTCGGGGAGAAGCCCAGAAGAAGCTATCATTTTTGAACTTGCCAAACCACAATCAGGCATATCTTGTGGACATTGTGCTCCAACCTGAATCTCAGGTACTAGATTTATGACTTCTGATTCTGGTGAATTTCCTAAACCAGTACAAACCCTCTCTCTAGATGCTCCTAAGCCCACCCCTATATGAGCATGATCCTGAAGATAATCCCCTGCCACATTTTCAGTTGACTTCTCATTAAATAGAGTGCCCTCAAGCTTATTTTTTGAATAATATGCATCTGCAACAGAAGCATCAAAGTCTGCTCCAAACTTCTCTGATTCCGTGCCCGGAAGAGCTTTGCTCTTCTGTTGCTCAACTTCATCTCTATCAACATTGATCTTTGAGATATAAGAGGTGACATGCTGCCGAGACTCGGTTAGAAGCACATCAGTACCAGCATCCATATGTACTGCCATGTTAACTACCTCTGCCTTCGGGACAATGTTGTTCAAAATTGTTTGGCTAACCTCTTTGCCCACCTTAACTTTCAAACGAATGCGAGTAGTCAAAGTACAGCTCCCTCCACCAGATTTGCGCGAGCTTCCACCAGCTCTACTCTTGCTTTGCTTCCTACTTGCTTGCCCCACCCTTTCTTTTAGTGATATACAATTCCCACTTTCATCATCTCCAAGCTCATCAATCACCTTGAAATATTCCATGACTTTCCCCAGTAATCCCCATTCACAAGCTCGGGTACGTTTGGGTAGGCAGCTTCTTTTCCTTTTCTTGAAGTCCAACACTTGAGCTATTCTATTTCCCTTCTTCGTAGTCTTTGTTGACCGAGTCTTTCGACTTGATCTGCAAGCTCGGCTGTTTCGTGCAGAAGCAGATTGAGTGCGCAGGCATTTGTTTTTTAAAATATACTTAGTTGTGCCCTGGCTTTTATCCTCATTTTCTATCTGTTCAATACATGCATCTGTGCTGACAGACTTCGTGGAACACTTTTGTTCCATCACGCGAGGATGTTGTACCTCCACCCGATTAGAATATCCACTCTCTGCAATGTCACAGGGTTGGCAAGACTCAGGAGAAGAAAATTTCTCAATGGATACAGTGGTCGGAATTTCAGGGTTTCCTTCCGGAAGATAGCAGTTATTTCCTTCCACACAAAATGTCTGAAGGACATCTTCAACCTTAGCAGTTGAAGTATCAATTCTCTCTTCCAAATTTTCAGAAGTGCTTTCTGCAGAAGAGCTGTCTACATTCGTTTCATTCATTTTCCCATTCTGTAGAGTACAATCACGGAGTGAAACAGGTGTCGGTAAGTAATCCAAGGTCCTTCCACAAGCTAGTGAAGGCAGTACATGGAGAAATCCACAAACTTCTTCACCCTTCCTGACAATTTTTGCAAGCGAAATGTCAGCTTTGTCATTTTCCTGATTAACATTCTTCTCAGAACCAATCTTAGCACCACTGTTACTTGGTGTTCTTGGGGGAGACTCATCACCATGTGGTGATATCCAAGTGCCTATATCAACTTCTGTGTGAGCAGAAGCATCACTTTCTCCATCCCCAATCCTTTCTGATGTTAAACCACTGATAGTCCTGTTGTCCAGCTCAATTTGTTGAGGACAATCAGTTGATAATGGAACTTCTGATGTGCATATTCTGCCCTCAAGTGAAGATGACAATTGACCCTCTAAAACACTTCCACCAGCCCCCAAAGGATAATGTTCGTTTTCCTTGATTCCCTCAGATCCTTCTTCAACGGAAGAAGCAGCAGGCTTATTATCATTCTCGTGACAAACATTTTGAACCGAATCAAGAGTTAAGATTAACTTAGATGACTCCACACAACTCTGTGAAGACAACCGGCGACTAGTAGTAGTCTCCAGCCAGTGCAAGGCATCATCTTTCTCGTACACAACCTCTGCCAATGCATTTAAGGAGGAAGAATTAACAGACTGGTCATCATTCTGGATATCCTGTTGAATACAAGTAGGAGGCATGCACGCTGCATTTTCAAAAACTGATGGTAATGAACTCAAATTTTGCCTTTCAGTATCACAGCACCCACCTACTATATCAACATGCTCCTCATCAGTAACAACCAAAACCTCATTAGTAGAGGGATCACTGTCAATCTGTTTGTTCTCTACATCACTCCATTCTCTAGATAAACAATGCACTTCGGCAGGCATTTCAGGACCCAGTGAAGGAAGCAGGTCTTGCTGATTATCAAACTCAGTTGCAAAGAAAGAATCTATTTCCTCCTCCACACCCATCTCAACACAACCACATTTTTCATCCCTCATGCCTACATGTTCATCATTAAGCCATCCATCGTTCTCCACCTTCCCACAACATAATCCATCAGTATCCCCATTATAATCATACTCCACATAACCCCCATGAATCATAGTCAGAGATGGCTCACTAACCTGACATCCGTTCTCCATCAGATTTCCAGGCCCCAAACAGACCGCATTATCATTCCCGACCTCCGTTGCTGCTACTCTATCTTCAACAGACGTAGTAGTAGTTAATGCGTGGGCAGGGGTCACACTAGCACCAGCATTGTCATTTTGGGCCGCTCCCAGAGAGCAATCGAGCACAGCAGTGGGATTCAAATCAGGAGCCGCGGGCGAGGTATCACTGTTTTCCAGGCAAGGTAGGCGGTGGTCATCAGCACCCAAATCCTCGACGAACTCCGAGCAGGAAGACTGCTGCTGCTGATCGAACGCAGGTTGATGTACTGGCTCGTGGACCGCAACAGCATCCTCACACGAACCCATCAAGCCTTCCTCAAACATTACTCAACCATTAAGGAAAACAACGAACGAAGAAGAGGATAGAAAAAGAGGACCAAACGAAATTGGTCCGAGAAAAGCTCAAATCCTAAACCCAAACCAAGTGCGTAATGCAAGCCGTAACCGAATCGCTTCAAACCCTAAACTCCAGAACCATTTCCCTTGCGCAAGACCGTCACAACATCGGCGGCGAAAAATCTGTGACCGGCGGCTTAGAAGAACCCTAAGGAGAAAAATCCTCCACTCTCTCTATCTCCGCCCTCTCTCTCTCTCTCTCTCTCTCCGCTATCTCCCTGCAACGACCAACAAAAACCCTTCTTCCATTTAGAATCGCTCACGGAAGAATGCAGATTCCTAGAAGCACCTGAAAGCAAAGCAAAGCAAAGCCGCAATCCGTACAAATTATTATTGCTCAATCTAACGACATGACACAGAAAACCTAGACGGAGAAAGGAAGAAAGAAGAAAAAAAGGAAGAGGAAAGAAGACGAGAAATATAAGTAGGATAAAAGGAATACTTTCCGCATGAGGGATTACAAAAAAAAATCCCCTCACAATTCAACGAATTACTGGTCCATTTCTCGTTATATGATTTTTCTTGTATTTTCCTCCATCATTGTTTTCATTCTCGAGGTGGGTTACTAGTATTATTATTCGTAAATTATATAGAAAGAAGCTTAAGGAAAAAGAATAAATCGAAGGAGGAAAATTCACTTCGTTGGTAGTCACGGCTTACGGGGCAAACACACGGGAGAGAAAGCGAGACAGAAATAAGGAATCAGAAATAAATTAATAGGTGGAGAGATTATTAGACATAATTTACCTTTGTGTTGTCTTGTAATTTTTTTTCTATGGGTAGGGATGCCGATTATTTTTCCCAAATTCAATTATACCAATTTATTATGGGTAGGGTATGGATTTATTCTAAATGGATTTGGTCGATTGGGTAGTTGAAGTTGGGTTCGTATCATGGTTGTCATATCGATGGAATGCAAATCGGTTGACCTGATTTAATCGGAGCCGGTAATGAAATCAGCATAAACACCACCCTTATGAACGAAGTGGCATCGTTTATTGAATTTAACTAATAAAAAAGTAATTTATTATTTATTTTATGAATTTGAAAGTTAATTATTGATGTTATTTGTTGGACTCAATCATAAACATTTAGGTTTTGACGTTAAATATTTTATTTAAATATGTTTTATTTAAATTATTTTATTTTGAATGTCATATTTTATTAAAATATAAATATGATTTGTAAATAAATTGTCTTCAATATATTTTATATATGATTAAATTCATTTTATGTTAATGGGTTTTTCAAATTTTCTACATATTTTGTGAAACCGACATGAACCGACACTAACTGGTTGTATCACTAGTCGAACCATTCTACTTGGTCAACTGGCGAAATTATATAAATCGATTTAACAACCTTGGTTTGAATGTTGTTTTCAATGTGAAAATGAGTATGGATTATGTATGGGTACCCATAACTTTGGATCTGCTTGTAAATGTTTATTTTTAGGCACTAAAATGTAAAATAAAATTTTAAAGGTATATTTTGTATATAATGTTGGACCCGTTTGTATCTCTTTATAAAATTTAGGTGCAAAATAGTAATTTTTACATAAAATTTAGTTATGGGATCATGCCATCAGAATCTGCTCCGTCGACCGATCTTCACCTTCTCGATGACGACTATAATCATCATCCAAAGTTCCAAACTCCAAAGTGGTTCGTGAATCTCATGGGCCTAACCTTCTACCGCATAATCCTCCTCCTCCTCACCGCCTCTCTCCTGATTTCCTTCATCTGGCTGAACATCGAGTCCATCCTCCTCTGCTGCGGCAGGATGTCTCCACTTCGTCGTCGCCACATTAGCCTTCTTCTCCATCTCGAGCCTCTTTCTCCTCTCCTTCCTCCATCCTCTCCGCATCTACCTCTCCACCCAGGGCGTCATCTTCCCGCTCGCCGCCTCTACTGCCTCTGTTCTCCACCTCCCGCTCAACTTCGTCCCCGCACTTCATTTCAAGCTCGAGATGGCCAGAGTGTAATAGAATGTAGCAATCCAGAAAATCCTTCACTACTAATCATCATTAAGAAAACCCACATTCATCCAGGCATAATTGTGAGTGAGAATGACTGGTTGATAACATAAAACATTTGCAAGGTTTAAAGTTATTGTAGCACTACTCGTACTTCATTTCAAGCTTCGATGTTCTTAACATGTAATGTTTAGTTTCAGTATGATAATGAATGGTGATAACAATAGTTACTGGAAAAGCTGTGTAACATCCCGGACCTTTTCCCGACAAGATATTGTTCGCTTTGGGCCTCGACCCTCACGGTTTTCGACTTGGGGTGCAATTCAAGGTGACTTCCCATAAGGTCACCCATCTTTGTTGTACTCCACACTGACCAAGTTTAACTTCGGAGTTCTCACAAGAACTCGTCCATTTCACCCCAAACACGTCTTGTCAGTTAAGTTCGGTTTCCTACTAATGAACCATAGATCTCTCCCGTGCTTTGTCGATGTGGGATTCGCCTAAGGTGTTACAAGCTGGCTTGGGTTTAATGATGATTATCGAGACTTGGTTCACATTAATAATAGGATTTACACAACTAAGTATTATATGCACTAAGTAACAACCAGGTGCTGCAATTCCACAAGTAGTTGATGCTAAAACACTGTCCTCAAATCATAACCAACTTACTGAACTAAAAGATCTAAATAACAACCAAAATGAAATAGCAGCCAAGACCATTCAAAAGCTTTTGCAGTTCCACAACACAACTCAAGCAATGACATGTGGAGATCCGAGCATTTGCCACCAACTTCCCAGAGAGTGTAGAAAGACCAACTTGGAGCACTTACCATCAACACAGCTCAAGCAATGACATAGACATCACCAACTTGCAATTTTTTGTTCATTCAATTAAGCCATGATCTTCCTAAAACCAAGCAATACCATTAAAAAGTTGTAAGTTTTAAGTTCATATTTTTGTAACCTTAACCACTCTTAAACAACCATTACCATCATAGCTTCTCAATTCTCACATTTCATCACTTGTTCATCACCACCACCATCATTCTCGCAAAAGATGGTTTAACTCAAACCACCAACATCGGGATAAAATATGGCTACACTCCTGCACCTGCAAAAAAACTAATAGTAATTTTGATTATTCACAACATCTGGAATTTGAGTAACTTAAATACAACAAAAGACGATAAACCTTTGCTAGTACATAGACTAGAATCATGTAGCTAGCTTCTAACGAAGAAGAAGTTATTGTTGTTGTCTGTTGATGATGATTGTGAAAATATGTAGCTAGCACAGTAGGTAGCTGATGATGCACGCTTTTAGACCACAATCAAGACAAAAGAAAATAAAAACAAAAATTGGTTTTAATGCATTCAGTGCCATTCGGCACTTTATTTGGCCGCAAAAAGCACCATGCATCTGTGTATACTACACTTAAACAACAGTCAAAGGTTCATGCAAAAGTGTAACACCATTACCTAGCATTACAATCACCATGCATATGTGTATAAGAGATTGGAAAGCAGTTTATTACCTCGAACTTCATTCACCATCCAGTTATGTGTGCACACAAGAACCTCTACAGTTTGGGCTCAAGTCGGCTATGATAAGGATTCTATAATCTCCCACTTGTGCTAAAAGTTGATTCCGAGACAACTATCGACACTGGAATGGCTAGGTGATCATTGGGAATCAACCTTAAATTTGGATATTGAAGGCCATGGTTCTTCCACCAAGATAAAATGTCGAACTCTTTGCTTCTTCTTATTGTTAAAGAGTGGTATAAGATCCAGCATAACCTTCTCTCAACAACTCGAGTTATTGGGACCAACTGGACATGGTATCAGAGCTGGTTTGACCAAGTGGTCGTGTGTTCGAATCTCCACGACCCCAACATTAAAAATTGATTAAAGCACAAAGTATGGTGGGCATGTGCAAACTTCAAGCCCATGGGTTGGCTTTCATTTGAAGGGCATGTTAGAAAGTGGTATAAGATCCAACATAATCTTCTCCCAACAACTCGAGTTATTGGGGCCAACTGGTTTATGAGAGGGATCACATTATCATGCAAGCATTTGTCCAACTCTTCTTTAATATTCCGATTAGATATGCTACTACCAACATAAGAAGCTAGCAAGAAACTCAGAATTTGCATGTTGATGAGGCAGTGGAGTAGAAGATGAATTCATGCTAGGTTATGTAGTCTTGTACTCACTAATAAGATCATAACAAAGATTTCTGATCCTATTGAGATCAAATACAGATGTACCAATATAGATTTATGGAAAGGCTCATTCCAATAGCTTCATCTTAAACCTAGGATCCAATATAGTTGAAACTGGTAACGTTCATGGATAATTTTCCAATATCTACTAAACTTATCCAACATCTCTTCAACCATGGTTGTAATAGTTCCATTTAGACTCAACAACCACTAGCTCAATGCTATTTTAATCTCACATACCTTAGGAAAAAATGTCGTAGCAGTGGGGTAAGTAGTTCTTGATAATGTCTTTGTAGCTTTATGAAACAATTTCAACTTTGAACATAATTTATATGACATATCTCATTACTATTTAGTTAAAAACATGCATAAGATGGAACTCTAGTAATAAAAAAAATAAAAGACCTCCGTATATATCGAAACGGTGGATAGCATGAGATATGTAGACTTATTAACGAGTCTTACAATGAAACGCCAACTCACTTGAATAATCAACATGTGTAGTTTGCCTAACACACTAAGCGTTTGGCTTTTCTTAGGAGATCAAGTCAAATAATTAACACTATCATAATCATCTCCATAGACTTCTCAATAACAGGCAACCCATCTTGCACAATTAGATTGAGAATACGTGTAGCACACCGCAATATGACATAGGAAACTATGCAATAACAAAATATTTTCTTGCAACTTTCCTAACAAAACTCTGAT